AGAACAGCACGTGGGTGACCAGGCACCCAACAACGGAACTGAGCAGGATGCCCTTCGTTGACGGTCTGCTCTGGAGGCTCTACTTGTGGCTCGAATGGCTCTATAATCAAATAAAAAACCTTCGAATGGAAAATGTCAGAAAACTTTTTGAATCTTCCATTGCCCTTCCCCCGTTCAGAGAAACCTACTCGGCTTCACATGAAGTTGTGCGGGTGGAGCTTCCTTAGGACCTTCTTCGGGGTCTGTAGGATCGGAGGCGGTGCAAATGTAGGCCCCTTCGTCCGATGTCCTGGTCCTATCAAAGCGAAGGATTCCGCCTCTACTCCATGCTCCTTGAGGAAGCGCTGAATGTTCTGATCAATCTCGAAGAACATTGAAGCAGAGTGATGGCTCAAGAAAAGCCCTACGCTCTCCGTCTCTTCCGCTCCAATGGATATCAGCGCGTGGATTTCCGGGCACCCAGCAACGGAACTGGGCAGGGTCTCCTTCATTGACAGTTTGTTCTGGTGGCTCTACTTGCGGTCCGTGACCTGCTGTAATTGCTGCCGTATAAATTCTAGAACAAGGTGTTACTTCGACTATTTTTTCTAACCAATTACATTAACAGAGAAAACCTACGTGGTCTCACACGAAGCCGTGCGGGTGGTGCCTCGCGAGGCGGTACTCCCTTAGGATCCGTAGGATCAGACGCTGTGCAGGTATAATATCCGTCGTCGGACATTTTTGCACTTGCAAAACGAAGGAAGCCGTCTCTTACAGAAGCCCCTTCGGGAAGCGCTAAAATGTCTTTGTCATTTGCAAAGAACATTGGAGCAATGTGATGAGAGTGGAGAAAAGGCCCACGCTCTCCCCGTCGCGCGCTCCACTGAAGAACAGCGTGTGGGTAGCCGGGTACCCAGCATCGGAATTCCGCTGGTTCTCCTTCTCTGACGGTTCGCTCCGGTGGTTCTACTTGTGGTTGGAAAGGTGCTGCAATGAGTTCAACAATATCAGCGTGAATGAGAAAACGGAACATCGCAGTGAGCACTATGTTGGCTTGGAAGGGACATTCAGAGGAATCCATTGTAGAGGCTGATGGCTTGACAACAACGAGCCAGAAGAACTAGCCTATCCAGTGGTGGGGTGATTGATAGACCATCAACCACTGCACCATGCCTGTTCTTCCTGGTTCATAAACTTATCGCTTTTCTCGGGTTTCGACTTTCTGAAACGAAAATTCAGAAAGCCTACTGATTTGCCCCATTCCATTCATCCGACATAGTACCACATGGCCTACTAAGATATTCATATTTGAATTTCCCAGAAGTTTTTAGGTTTATCTAAGAGTTCTTCCAAATCAGTACACATACATGCTATTAAAGCTGTTGATATGTTCCTTGATAAAACGCACCCAACAACCCTTTCTTTTCAACTTCGGTCAACGACTTCAACCTGCA